TAAATATACAAATATATATGTATATATTATATTATATTACATATGTTCTATTACATATATGTATATATATACATATTACATATATATAATATATAGTATATATATATATATATATTATATTTTTGTAAATATATTATATTACATATATATGTACAAATTATATATAAATATAAGTAAGATATTTCGTTTACGCATGACACTGTCGAGTACACTTAAAAAATATACAATATAAGTATCCTATATCGAAGTATGACCTTTATGAATGTTGGGAACATTGCAAAAAATATCTAGCAGCAAAAAGTTACTTTCAGCAAATGGTCAAAGATTATGTTATGATGATTTATTGAACGCTCGGCTCAGCGATACGGTTTCTTCATTTAAAGGCAAGTAGTTGTTGCCTTAAGGATACAATCCATATTGTATCGACCAAAACTTCGCCCACCATTTACGAGTGCGTCTGTGTGAATGTGAATATATATTGTATCCACATCATTCGCAGGGCTGTTCTAGCCGTTGTGTTTTCACCGTCGAGCTACTCACACAGATATATATTAACGCCTAATTATTCAGTCACACATGGACCACCGAATCCCCCCCACATCCAATGTTAGTATCAGCATGTATACTAGCATCCTTGGAACCGGCTCATCACATGTAACTAGCTGCGCTCTCTCACTACGCGTGATCAAATCATTCCTTTCCGTGCATACAACTTATATATGAGGCACGTACTTGGGATCATCGGCAGCTTTCCAATTCCACACTTGCTAGAGTGCGTTTTGACGACGAAGAGCTACTATTTCAATAGATTATACCATTGTCATTTAGAAGTCGGCATCAATGGTGAAGCTGTGTTGGTTGACGCTCTTGTCTCCCATTACTCCAGATTTGGCGTATTCGCCTACGCGCTTCTCGAAGAAGTTGGTCTTACCCTGTAGGGAGATCAGCTCCATCCAGTCGAAGGGGTTCTCAACCTTGTAAACCTATTCAGATGAATGCAATATGATAAGAATTTAGGACAATTGCTTAATGTAAAGGTCTGGAAAAGCACATATATGCAGTGAATTAAAGTTTCATGTATGACTACTGAACACGAGTGGTTGGCCACAACTTTTAAAAGAGTCGAATAAACACACCTTAGGTTGACCAAGAGAGAGTAGCAGGCGATCGGCCACGAACTCGATGTACTGGCACATAAGCTTGTGATTCATTCCAATTAGAGCCACGGGAAGGGCATCCGTCAGGAATTCCTGCTCGATCTTAACAGCATCTACAATGATACTCTTCACGACCTCGGCGCTGGGTTTACGTTCCAGGTGGTCGTGTAGCAGACAGGCAAAGTCACAGTGGAGTCCCTCATCTCTGCTGATCAACTCATTGGAGAAAGTTAGTCCAGGCATTAGCCCACGCTTCTTCATCCAGAAGATCGAGGCAAAGGAGCCAGAGAAGAAGATACCCTCTACTGCAGCGAAGGCTACCACACGCTCACCGAAACTGGAGGCATCGTCGTTGATCCACTTGAGGGCCCAGTCGGCCTTTTTCTTGACGGCAGGGAGTGTCTCAATAGCGTTAAATAGGTTATCCTTCTCACGGGGGTCACGGACGTATGTCTCGATAAGCGTAGAGTACATCTCAGAGTGGATGTTTTCAATGGCAATCTGGAATCCGTAGAAGCAACGTGCCTCGGCGATTTGTACTTCACCGCTGAAGCGCTCGAGGAGATTCTCGTTCACAATACCATCACTGGCAGCGAAGAAAGCCAACACATGGGACAAGAAGTGGCGCTCGCCATCCTTGAGGTTCTGCCAGTCAGCTAGATCACGAGACAGATCAACCTCCTCAACAGTCCAGAAAGAAGCTTCGGCCTTCTTGTACATCTGCCATATCTCCTGGTATTGTATAGGGAATAGCACGAAGCGACGAGGGTTTTCTCTGAGGAGGGGCTCGTCAGTCTTTTCATTGTATGTGTCTATGGGTTCACGCAGGGTCACCGCAACATCATCCATCTTCTTGGCTTTCACTCTGAGGGTGGCCATCTTGGCGTCCAAGGTGTTCACGTCAATTTCTCCCAAAGGCATTTTGTATAAATGTGTGTGCGGTGGTTGGAGTGTTGAAAAGAAGTAATCACAGCAAGTGAATATACAAACGCTGGGCTGCTCGAACTTTATACTCTTCCAGCACGCGAAAGACTTTAACAGAAACACATCTTCTCCAGCGTACATTCATGATGGTGACAGTTGTCACAGGTCCCCCAGATTCATCAGTAGAACCCCGTGTGGACCCTCCAAATGGCAACCGCCGATTTTACTAATTTTAAAAAAATAAAGCAAGTTACGAACATGGAAGAATTTTGGCGGGCCTGTGGATTTGCCACAGATCACCCCAAGAGAGCGCGGCAACTGATGAACTGATTATCCCCCCCAAATGGAATTCGCAATCAAGAAGCGTCTAAATATAATAACTGTCACAGACTTTGTTTAAAATTCCTAGTTTGTTTTGTATTGGAGACAGAAGCACAGTCTGCATGCTGGAATATAACAATAAAAACGGCAGATATTTTAAAATACATGGAGGAAAAATAAATTTAGTTTCCGACAATTTTTAATCCAATTACTCCCACTTTCGGTTGCAACTTACAGGTGCAACTCAAGTGCAACTCTTTCTCGTCTCGACTTCTTGTCGCAGAGTGAAGCAGACTCGCCTCTTCTCTAGTTGTCTGATGTCTCTCATACAGACAAACTCTAAAGTCAAAACTGTGACAGACAATAACGGATTTGCCGCTCTGTGACCGTTGACCAATGAATACCCAAGAAACCTTTTTCGGATTGGACTGGAAAATTGGAGTAGTATTTTTTTACATTTTCGACAGTCGGTAAAATCGGAGTGAAAACGGACTGACGGATTTCCGCCTTTGAAACCATTAACCAATGGATAACTAAATAAACTTTACTATTGGATTGTGAGTTCAAAGTTGTGTGTTGTCAGTTGTCACTGACTTGTTGTGGACTTGTTGTGTCTTGAAGTTTGGACTCGAGACTGAGAGACCACTGGGAGTGACTGAGTGACTTGGACTTGGTTTTGGAGACGATATAACGGAGAGTGAATACGGTCGGTGGATTTCCGCCTTTGTAGCCTTTGACCAATGAAAAGCCAAACATACCTATTACTGGATTGTAAGTTGCGAGTTGTCGCTGTTGAGGCAGTTTAAAGACGTGAGTACGGGCGATGGATTTAACCCTTTGTAGCCGTTGACCAATGAATAACCAGAATATATTAATTTCTGTGTTGATTTTGAGAGTGTCTGCTGTCACTGTTTGTGTCCGTGTCTGACCGAGGAACACATATTTTTCTATAATAAATATAGCGAAAAATTGGCGTAATAATATTTTAAAATAATAAATATGCACTGCAAACGTTAAATATAAAATATGAAATACGAAATGGAATTTGGAAAAAAATATGTAGTACGAGTGTTGATTTCAGAAATATGGCAAAAAAAATAATGTTTGGTATAAAAAAATTGAATTACACCATAAATATGCCATATTTCTAAACAAATGCCATTTTCTTTATAAACATGCCATATTTCTAAAATATGCCATATTTCTGAAATATGCCATACGTACAATACGAAATATAATATATAGTATTTCACGGCTGTATTATAGGAATTGTATAGGCATATATAGCCTGTATTTTGCAGTTCTATCAAAGGATTTATATAGGCATATTGACTGTATTTTGTAATTATATCGGAATAATTATATAGGCAAAGTGCTGTAGTTTGTAGCTACATTAAGGGAATTGCACATGTGTATAGTAGCTGATTTATAGCTGACGTAAAATATCGCATAAACATTTCCGTAAATTTGTATATTGTACGTATGGCATATTTCTGAAATATACAATATTTCTCATATATATATATATATATATATATATATATATGTATGTATGTATGTATGTATGTATATTG